GAGAGAGAGAGAGAGAGAGAGAGAGAGAGAGAGAGAGAGAGAGAGAGAGAGAGAGAGAGAGCAGGTAGTCTCCAACCTCGTGGCTGGCCTCCTGGTATTTCCATCGATAGGATGAGCAAAATCGAATGAATCTACCGCTAGAACATGGAAATATACATTGCGCACACGCGCACAGCACACCAGACGTGCACAGCGCACTGTGCACCCAGATGCGCGGCGCGCGCTGCTGCGCGCGCACCTCGGGTCCGTGCACAGTGCCGGTGCGCCGCAAGTATGTTATTAACACTTCATTTATACAACAGCCTGCCGGCTGCCTCAATGATGTAAAATTATAGTACTTGTTCCTTTTGGTTTCCGTGAAAAAACGGAATGGTAGGGGCTTTGCTCGTTTGTCGTCAAAAAAAATCTCGAAACACACGCACAACCAGAAAGGCACCAAAAAAAAAAAAAAAAAGCACAAAGCACTTCAAAAAAAAGGTCAAAGCACCCTATTACGACGACGAAGCATGTACAATTTTTCGGAAAATTTTGTCGCACTGATCTCTTTTCATAACTACCCTGCTGTCAAAATACAAAAAAAAAAATAAAAATTATATGATTGGTATCCCATCTAGTCACGCTTTTCTTTTTTATATATAATGATTTAATTCATTTTTTCAACTTTTTTAAACTTTTTTTCAGTTTTGTTCTTTTGCTTTGTTTACGCAACCAGTACCTGTGAGGTTCATTTTTGTGTTCTGCACCAAAGAAAAGCGAGCCGGGTTTGTGCAATTTTGGCTGGCGTCGCCAGCCCAAGAAATCCGGAATAGTCCGAACCCCCGAAGAAAAAAAAAATCACGGTTGCATACAAAGTTACAAACGCATCGGACGAGAACGGCTGGGGGAGGTACTGGTGGTTTAAAAAACCACCAGCAGTACACCCGGGCCTGGCGGCACCACACTACACGCCAACCTTTGCCGAACCCCCAGCTGCACACTTTTTGTTCTTTTTTTTTGCCTAAGGGCCGCCAGCCCTTGTCGTCTGGTAGCTCAGAGCCTCCAAAGTTCCGAACAAAAAAATATATATATATTCTTTTTGAAAGAAAATTCAGCTGATTTATTCCCACACAAAAAGGAGGCCCGAAATCCCTCCACATCTCAACCCGGAAAACAACAGAACAAGCATCCAAAATTTTAGGAGTAGGTGATGATAAAATCTTGCAAGGTTGGGGCCGTGTACTGGTGGTTTAAGAATCAACAAGATCAGACAGAGAGGTCTGTTCATGGATTTCTCGATTGTTCTCAAATTGTTCTCAGATTGTTCTCAGATTGTTCTCAGATTGTTCTCAGCCGAAGCCGGGTAATGGCCCCGGTACCTCAAACCATTTTCTGTATTCTCATAAGGGATGCTGGGCCCGGTTCCCAGCACGTGTTGCTCCCCATGAAAATATTAGAGCATGGTCTCGCATTTCAAAAAAAAAGAGCACTTAATCTGTCAACAGGAATATGAATCCTTTTGCTATGTCAAGACCTGGTGGTCCCATCCTCCTCAGCAAACACAAACTTCACAATCCGTACAGGTTCGGCGTATCCTGGCACTAGTTGTAGGCTTGTATCATTCTCAGCAGGGTTTGGAAACTCTGGATTTTTTCTGGCACCCAAGAAATGACACGTGGCACACCTTTAAGGCTATGATTGCCCGGTCCGTCCGTCTCCTGCATTTCTACAATCACTCCTGCCACCATAGCTGCAAGTTTCCCATCCTGCCGCAACCTGTATGTTTGCTCAAAAAACATAAAAAGGAGAGAGAGAGAGAGAGAGAGAGAGAGAGAGAGAGAGAGAGAGAGAGAGAGAGAGAGAGAGAGAGAGAGAGAGAGAGAGAGAGAGAGAG